CGGCTCGTCTTTGGTGGAAATTCGACTGTATCTAAACGTTCTCGAGTCACTGTCCGGTTGAAAATTGTATGTTACCACCGATTACGAGAACTGAAGCAGTTTTTCTGAAACCACGTGCACCATTCAAACTGGCTGCCTTCAACGTTCGCACACTAGTGCAGGTCGGACAACAGATAGGGCTGGCTATGTCTTTGGAAAGTCTTAATATTGATGTTTGTTGTCTATCCGAGACCCGTATTCAAGACTCTGGCGAAGTACTACAAATTCGATCTCCATCTGTCGCTTCGAAAAGCTTGTTTTACGGGCGCTTATCCGGGGACCCTGTGGCATCTTCGTCTGGTCTTGCTGGCGTTGGTGTCGCACTAAGCGCTAGAGCTGAGGCAGCACTAGTCGATTGGATCCCCATTAACAGTCGGTTATGTGCTGTTAGATTAGAAAGTTCCATCAAAGTGAGAAGAAATCGGCGTGAGAAACGATGTCTTTTCGTCATCTCCGCCTACGCCCCGACAGATTGCAGCCCGGATGCAATCAAGGATGAGTTTTACCACCAGCTGTCTGTTCTTCTCCAGAAAGTGCGCTCGACAGATATTGTAGTACTAGCCGGAGACTTGAATGCTCAGGTCGGGCGTCTAGGCACAGAAGAGAGTCGTTTAGGTGACCGATGGGGACCCGTTGGTCGCAGGTCAGATAACGGGGACCGTCTACTGCAACTTTGCACAGACCACAACCTGTTTCTGGCTAGCACTAACTTTCGGCACAGTCATCGCCGATGTGCCACCTGGCGTCCTCCCTCTGCATCCCAAGCCTGGACTCAGATTGATCACATCGCGATCAGCTTCCGCTGGCGTGGTTGTGTAAAAGGCTGCCGCTCCTTTTGGAGTACCTATCTGGACTCTGACCATGCCTTGGTCTGCGCCAATCTTGCCTTACTTTTCAGTGGACAACGAAGTGACCGCCATCAAAGGATTGATATTAGCAAGCTGGTTGCAACTTCTGTTGCAAATAAGTATCGAACCGAGTTAGCCTCTAGGCTAGCTACCACTCCACCGAAAAGTATAGATGAGCATTGGTTGCAATTGCTTGACGCCATGAAAATGGCGGGAACAGTCAGTTGTGGGTTTGCGAAACGTCCCGCTTTTAAGCACTGGGTTTCTTCTGGTTCCTTACAACTCATTGAAGCCCGTCGGTCTACTCCGGGTGACCGTGAGTTTGACCATAAACGAAGGATGTTACGTAGGGAAATTGGGCAAAGCTTGCGTAAGGACCGAGAAGCCTGGTGGTCGGAGCGTGCTAATGAGCTGGAAGCAGCAGCTGCATCTGGTAACTACCGGAAGCTCTTCCAGCTCATCCGAGCCACTGGCAGCAAGAAGTCTGGTGTGAGTGAAACAATCTGCGAGGATGATGGGATGCCAATCACTAACATCCATCGACGTCTTGGACGATGGGCAGAATTTTTCGAAGGGCAGTTCAACTGGCCTGCTGATCCGGCAAAATCGGTCAGACTGTCCTGCCCTCCATGGCCGGTGACGACTGATCCACCAAACGAGGGGGAAGTCCGCAAGGAACTCCAACTCTTGAAGCGTTACAAATCACCTGGCCCAGATGACTTACCTCCGGCTCTTTTTAAAGATGGTGGTGACTTTTTGACTAAGGAATTGACGACGTTGTTTACAAAGGTTTGGGAACTAGAGAGTGTACTAACGTCATGGAATGAGTCGATAGTTGTCCCTATCTTTAAAAAGGGTTCACGTCGTTCCTGCAACAACTATCGGGGGATAAGTCTACTTCCGATTGCGTCCAAGCTATTGGCTTCCGTCATACTTCGTAGGTTGTTCAAAACCCGAGAAAGATTGACTCGCGAGGAGCAGGCTGGGTTTCGTTCTGGTCGAGGATGTATTGATCATATCTTCACCCTCCGCCAAATGTTAGAACATCGCCATACTTATCAAAGGCCAACAATCGTAGTGTTTCTTGACATCAGGGCTGCCTTCGATTCGTTGGACAGGACTGTTCTCTGGGATTGTCTATTGAAGAAGGGTGTGCCTGAGAAGTTTATTAACATCCTGAAAGCCCTATATAAAAACACCTCAAGCAGAGTGAGGGCATACAACCACCTTTCTCCATTGTTACATTCGAGTAGTGGGGTTAGGCAGGGTTGCCCAATCTCACCATTCCTCTTCAACTTTGCCATCGATGACATTCTGGAAACAGCTCTGATGAATGTAAGTAATGGTGGTGTGGATCTGTTGCCTGGAGAAAGACTTCTCGACCTTGAGTATGCGGACGATATTGTCTTACTGTGCGATAGTGCCCAAGGCATGCAATCCGCACTTAATCAGTTGGCAATCAGTGTTCGTAGGTATGGTATGTGCTTTGCACCTTCGAAGTGCAAAGTACTTCTACTAGACTGGCAGGATTCCAATCCTGTACTCACCCTGGATGGTGAGCAGATAGAAGTAGTCGAGAAGTTCGTGTATCTGGGTAGCTGCATAAGTGCTGGTGGGGGTGTGAGTGATGAGATCAATGCACGTATAGTGAAAGCCAGAGTGGCTTATGCCAATCTGGGCCGCCTTTGGCGCCTTCGTGATGTTAGTCTGGCTGTAAAAGGTCGGATCTACAACGCGTCGGTGAGAGCAGTTTTGCTCTATGCTTGTGAAACCTGGCCTCTCCGAGTTGAGGACGTTAGACGACTCTCTGTGTTCGATCATCGCTGTCTCCGAAGGATTGCTGACATTCAGTGGTAACACCATGTCAGTAATGCAGAGGTTCGGCATCGTGTGCTTGGGCACAGAGATGATAATTCAATTGGTGTCACCATCTTGAAACACCGACTTCGGTGGCTTGGACATGTTCTAAGAATGTCGTCCCAGAGGATTCCACGTCGTGCATTATTTGCCGACTCTGGGACTGGTTGGAAAAAGCGGAGAGGTGGTCAGTGCATAACATGGTGTCGTGGTATGAAAGAAAGCTGCAAAGGACTGGCTTCTGTCGGTCCTTCACGACTCCCTGGTTGGGGTCTGAGAGATGGTGCTACACAGTGGCTAGAGACGTTATCAGATATGGCTCAGAATAGAAGCCAGTGGCGATCCTGCTGTAACCTTCTTTTACTTTCTTCATAAAAAGTGGTTGTGTCTCCTTTACTTGAAAGATTTCTTCTGATTGTACCTTTCCGTTCCATCGTTACGACCGCACTACCTTTCACCAATCTCTTTGTTATCGTTATCTTTTTCTTTTGTGCTCCTTAGTTTTTTTTTCTTTTCTCTCTTCGAATTTTCATTGTTTTGTGTGGCGCATATATATTGGCGCTCTCTTATACCAATATTTATGTGCTCAAATAATAATAATAATAATCTGTTCACCATCCAGGGTGAATGCAGGATTGGAATCCTGCCAATCTTGTAGAAGAATTAAGCAATCAGTATTTTGTCCCAACAAACCTCATGTTGTAATGATATGAATTACCAATTCTGTTAGTCAGTATAAACAGTTGTGTAATTATTGGAAATAGATGTACAAAACACAAAACCACTGCAAATGAGCTGATACAAATGTGATGTGATCCATTAAATCTCACCTGATGCTTAGTTCTGTATGATTGAAAGAAAAACTAAGTTAACTCATTCATTAAGTACTTGGGTATGAATCCTACTGAATGTTAGAGCTGCTGATATTACATGGTTGCGGAGATCGAAATAGGTGGAGAGGGGCTTGAACATAAGTCTTAGTGGCCGAAATTTGAACACAACCACTAAATAGACATAAATTACTCCTAATTATACTAATATCTAAACTTGTGGATCGACTTTTAAACCCGTTTCTTGATAATTCTAAACAAGTAATTAAATTTACCTGATGCTTATACCTTTACTTACTCTCATTCTCTCATTGTCAAGCAATTCCCATGATCGTTATGTTGACTTAATAAAAATTTACTTAATACGGTAGCTTATTGCATACAGACCCTATTGAGAAGTGTATACCACTTAATTGGAGATTTTATTTGGGTACCTTTAATCAGGTTATAGTTAGAAATGAACTTTTGAATTGGCTATATTGAATTGTGTCTGTCAAGGCTGTAGATTCTCCCCATTTTAATCTTTGTCATAGATATACCTTTGGAAATAACTCGTTTGGCATCTTGGTAATGAGTTATTTTTGTGTTTAAGAGGTTCTCTCATAAACTTTGAGTGCACAAATAAAATACTTATATTTCGTAAAGACCAAAACATTAAATATGGTTTTTGAACACTAAAGAGCAACAATGAAAAAATGTGTGTAACTCATTTATCTTTTTCAAAACGTACACTAATACTTTAGAACTAGTGCGGAATAATATTCATTTAGGCATTATAGACTGAACTAGTCGAGGGCATCGATCACGCTAATTATACCGAGAGTATATACCGAGAGGTATTTAAAGCATATGCTATGCAGGTTCAGTTGTGGGGCTTTGAGGTGGTTAAAGCGAGTATATTAAAAAACGCTAGTGGTCGACAGATTAAATAAAGGTGCCAGTTCGAAAATTGCTGAACCAGAGATGCTCAAGTCCTAGTTGGGGTTCGCAAAGTTGACTGTCAAGCTCTTAAAAGAGAAAGCTCGGCGAAGACGTAAAGACTCGTTCTTCTTTTTGTCACAAGCAGCTTTATTTAGTATAATTCTCCTCAAAATTATATTTCTTTTCGAATTTATTTAGAGCTTAGTTTCTTAATAGTCTATTTTCCAACTCAGGTGAAATCGAAGTTTGAAGTTTAGTTGTTCAATATCATTTGTAAGTAAATAACAAACTGCTTTAAATTTAAACCAGTAGGGAGAACTGCAAGGCAACTACTAATATTGAGCAAGAACAAGTAATTAGCTGATGATTCGTTTTGCAGAGGTGTAAATCAATTTCCATAAGATAATTTATTTGAAAAAGTAATAATTCTTAAAAATGAAACAAGCAGTAAGTAGGAAATTATATTAGCTTTAGAGGAACACATTGTTGCAGAAGTTTAATTTACCTGACTCTGTTTCAGACACCAGAAATTGCTGCAACATCCGGAGTTCTTCTGTTTTGCGAACCGCATATTTACTAACACTCAGTTGCCACGCCATTTCATTCGGATACCAAGGTAATGGTTCAAAAGTACCATTAGTCTGATCTTTTTCATCACACATATAATGTTGCATCTCAGATATATCTTTCCGATACTTTTGTTTGATAAGTCGTAATAATTCCTTGTTTTGATCTCGAAATCCTGTTACCCGAAATGTGATAGGCAGATCTCTTTTCAAATAGTCGATGAAATCTGCCCATTCATCCTCAGGAACGATTCCCTGATTTTTATAATAGTTTTCGAACAACTCGTTTCGTTTCATTTCAGGTTGGATATGCTGTCTGCATTGTGATGTTGGTCTACGACGACCCATAATTCTTTAATGTTTAGTCAAATCTATACAACACAGAAAACGAATCAATGCGTAAGTTATTATTAACAGTTTCTTTATTTTTACTAGAGCCAGATTCAACAATTGAGTAAACCATTGCGATTTTCTCAATTCTAGAATCTCTAAAATGACAGTGTTCAATAACTTAACGAACTTGATTTGTATGAGTATTTATTTGTATCAAATATACCTGAATTGCAACTTTGTAATTAGTTTAGTCCCACTACGATAATAAATCCCATAATGTGAAAAGACTATAAGTGCATGTTAGTCTCGCGCGCGAGACCGAAGGCCCTGGGTTCGAATCCCGCGAGCGGGATCGTGGATGCGCACTGCTGAGGAGTCTCACAATAGGACAAAACGGCCGTCCAGTGCTTCCAGGTTTTCAATTGTGATGGTCTAACATTAATCGGTTCATGATCTCAATCAAAAACTTAATAATCTCCACAATCCATATACTAGTGATCCCTAAGCGTTGTATTCCCTTACATTTCACAACAACCTTTTAGATAAGGATTCACAGCACATACACTTAATTTATCTCAACAAGCGCTTCCACAACCTTTACCAAGGTTGGCACAGCTGTGTCGGTCAAATTATGGTGAGACTATAACTTATGGACGAACTAATGAATTTAAGGATAGCAAGTCTTGGATCATGTCACGAAACTCACCTATCTATAAGGCTGAATAGCTTTTTGACATTATATTTTAACCTCAAATTCTAACCTTAAATTCTAACCCTAATTCTAACAGACTGTCCAATGTTAATATGACTTGCCACAGTTGAAGCACATGGATTAGTAGCGGCACTACCGTATAAGCCGCGTTTCAGATTTCAGATTTAAATTAGTGTAGTAAGGACAGAGGGCCTACGGTCTATGTTATTACCTTTTTAGTCTGCTTCTGTTAGTTTCTGGTCTTCTCTTGAATGTATCAACTGAGGGTGAGGACATCAGTGCTTCGCGTAACATGACTCAGTGTGAAAATATGTATGCCACATATATTTTATTCGTTTTTTTGCTTTTCCACAAGCCTGCTATTCCCTCTGAAATGTGGGAATGAAAACAGAGAAGATATTGGGTTCAGAACCACTTCTTAGTAAGCTATACAATAAAAACAGATAACCTCCGAATCTGCGATAGGACTGAGGAATGAAGTTGCAGATTATTAGTGTTGATGATCTCTGTCAAATGATTGGGGACCTACTTAAGTTAGACGGTAGTGGTGTGACCAACAGCTAACGTAGAAGTCACACCTCGAAGTCGATACCTAATGTGGACTACCCCTTCAGGGTACTATGAATGCTTTGAAGACCGTACAACATGAAGGGTGTTATTACAGAAATATATTAGTTAAAGTACAAACGAAAGTGTAACCACCACCACATGTACCTTTCCATGACGCACGAATAACTGATGCTCGTTGGTTATTCATGACTTTGACAGAGATCGATGATCTGTTCGACATTCAGGGACCTAAATGCTGGATGATTTGGCCGGGGTTCAGTGACATTTCCTTGTCTTCGGTCTTCAGTAATAAAGATAGTAGGTTGGTGAACCTGTGTTAATCATGACAGATTGCTTTCCAGTGATGGTCTAGCTTCTCGTTGAAAATATTCACTGGTGGGGCTGATACCACTTGTTCTGGTAAGGCGTACCAATCATTGACTACTCGATGAGAAAGAAAAGGGACCACATTAGATCGTGGTTTGTGAACCTTCTTGCTATGACTTCGGAGATTATTAGTGCTGGAGGGAGCAAAAAGATAAGACATTTCAACACCTAAATCATTATTAAAGATACGAAATGCTAGTATAAGGTCACCTCGCGTCTTACGGTACGACAAGGTAAAGTCGTCAGTAAGACAACACAGACTACAGTATATTCCCCCTATAGTCACTGACCCATTTCTAGATATAATCTTACAACATGCTCACATGTTCCACCAACATGAGCCTACGATATGATTGTTTCTATACGAAAGTGATCCCTAACGTATAACATTATGCCTTCCCCCTTGCAACTTAAAACTCTATCACTTCTAATACAGATATAGCCTGCAATCATGGGAGAACATTCTATATCTACGGTAAACCAAGTTTCTGTAACAACAATTATATCAGGGCTTCATTCATCCATCATCAGACTTAGCTCGGACGTTTTATTTCTAAGACTACAGGCGTTCGTGTAGCACACACTTAAGGTGTTTTTGTAATCATTCGTTCTACCCATACAAGCCTCGGAAGCATTGGCTTCCAAGACCCGACTACCCGAAAACCCTTGATGGTAAGGTTAGTTTCGCCATTTGACTTGCTAGTTCTCAACTCCGTAAGAGCATTCTTCCACGTGATTCCACTCTCAAGCGGCCAATCTGGTCGTATACGAATATGTGAATCACTAGTGTTTTTTTGCGTTTTTCAATTATTATTATTATTATTATCAGCTTTATTCAATATTATATTTTTGTTGCAATATAGAATTCTCAGCGTAAAGTATATCAACAAGTTTCCGTTTCTTTCTTCTTGGTCGGTCCTGGTGATAAATATTGAGTGATCGCCAATTAGATGTTAGCAGTTCAGTAAATGAATATCTGAATAATGTGCATTCTTTTCTTTGTAAATTGCCAGCGACCACACTGTCTCTTTTGAGTTTTTTGTAACATTGACAACGAAAGGTTGTACACTTGTCAGAAACGCAGCAGAATAAGCTATGCGATTAATAAATATAATGATATATTAAAACAAACAATAATATATAACTTGTTGAAGTATCTAGATGGCAGGAACAGATAGCCCAGATGATCAAGCAGGCCGCCCTTTATCCGGATGCTTAAAAATATATCTCTCTTCGAAATTCCCGAGAACCAGCCTCAAGAACCCTCTTGGTTGGGTCTCGCCTCCAATCCATTCACCGAGTCGTATTACTTTCGTGACATGTACCTCTGAAGCCTCTACAGATAGTTCATTTTTTTATCACGGATTCCACTAACTGCAGATCGTGTGCATGTCTTTTAGCAGGGTCACTGTCTTTCGACTCCTCTAAATTCCAAATAATTAAACTAGTTAGGGGTTTAGCGGGTGATCTTATCCGCAACGCAACCATGTAAACTTAATGTACCGGTCATCTGTGCGTTCAAGTAACCACAGATTTTGTCATTTCATAATGTATTTTTAATTAAATAACTAGATTATATAGCTAATTTTGATCTTTTTTTATTTTTTTATTCGCCACGTTCGACTGCGTTACACTGCACGTCCATTGCATGCTGGGATAATATCTCAAGTCATAGTGAGTTTATTCACATAGTTGATTGTTTCCAGATAGACTGTCAGTGCATGATTTTACTGTAGAAAGGTTTATTGTACTATAAACTATGTTTTTATGAACAACTACCTGTTGTTTTCAGTCGGAAAGCAATATATATATACCTTGTCTTCTGTTCGGTAAGTTCAATTGGCCTATATTTCGTGTTTTTGTTTTATCGTCTTAATTATGTCCATTTAACTACTTTAAGCAATATGCCTGTGCAAATGAAACAATAACTATGACACTTGCTTAGTTTAGTATTCTTGGTTGTCGTATAATTCAGTTTAGTTGAAAGAATTATGGTATAGTGCTTGAAGTCTGTAACGAAACAGATCAGCTTAGTAAGTAGAGTTGCCTGTTTCTGATGAGTATACTGATTCAAATCAGTCTGATTAAAAATAGGAAAAAAGTGCTTTTGGTACTGTTGCTGTTATACATTATAAGATAGCGATAAGTATGTTTGGTGTTTATTTCTAGATTGTACATCTATCACTGACCATATTTCATGATCACTGTCATTAAACAATTTCCCCAGCAATAACATCGGTAGCAGGATAGTTAAGTGTCTGAGCTTTTATTTGCCCACAGAAGAGCAGTATACAGTCTTAGAAGATGAGTAGTCTGTATCTCAATTAAATGCAGTTGGCTGTGGACAAATGTTAAGAATCTTTTTGACTACTAGGACTTTTAGTTCATCAAACACTAACTCTGCTTGTATGTCTTCCTGTTAAACTAGATGCAGATACATGGTAATACTTAAATGAGAGCAAAATAATAAAAGCATTGAGATACGGTATTAAGTCCATGTTATGCTTTGCACAATAAATAGCTGACCTGACCTAATATTCATGAACTAAAGGTAAATCACAACTGCATAAATTCTTTGCTAAAATACATGTAATTTGGTTATTTATCTATTCCACATTTCTGACTAAATTCATTACTGTTTTCTCATTTACAATGCAACAGGACTGAGTCTTCACAGATGTTAAGAACTGTTTCGCCCTTAGAACTATGGCCCTATGGATCTGTTTACGGGAGACCCAACTAACACCAGATCATAAAAAGAATGCTGGATGTCCATTTTAATCTCACAACCACTTCCAGTACTTTTTGAGTTACTTCTTTTACCCTTTCGTTTGGAAAAAACAACAAAAACTGCAGCTTAACATTACAAATGCAACTTTTAGACTGGAACTTGGTTTAAACCTTTGTTTCATATTCGATTCTTAATGAAAGTTCTCGAATAAATTTTTGAACCTAATGCTACTTTGTTTTATCTACTTAATCGTTGCAAGAAACTTGTGATAATCGAGCCTCTCATCACCTAATTCATGTGTTCAGGCTTCCGTGTCTATTAGCAGGGGATCACCAAGCAGGAACCTAGGTATGTTAACAATAAAAGATCCAGTTGCCTCCCAAATGACTACTGGGAAGTCGCTTGGACTAGTTCGGCGGGCAGCGAATTCCAGCATTCGACAACTCTTAAGGAGTAGAAGTTGCGTCTACAGTCCATTCTGCTATGTCGTGTCTCTAGTTTCTGGGACTAAGCTCAAATAGGTGTTTAAGAAAATGTCCAGAAGTGTTAAAAATCCTGTAAGTAAATAGGTCACCTCTAAGACGTCTATACTTTAATGAGTAGAGGTTAAGTGATTGGAGGCGCTCTTCATAAGGTGATTTGGTGCATATCTCCGTCACTTTCTCGGGAAACCTACAGGCTCGGGTCCTCTCACAACTTATTCTAGCCACCATGAGTTGCCACGAAAACTGATGGATGGACACGCGTCACACATTCTAACCGTCCCTGCGTCTAGTCTCATAGCTTATCCAAATGTCATATGATAAGCAAGTAATGCTTCTACCGATACTAATGGAACACGAGTAATTCAGAGGCACCCTGTATGGTACTTTACATTGGCCTACGCACTCACTTAGTTCTTTAGTGAGAATATTACTACAGTCCTGCTAAAAAACCCACGAACCCCACCACCACCATCAAAACAATAAGTCTGTATTTGCTGCATATAGCAATTTTATTTTTCAAAAGATATAACAGTAAGAATTGGAGTAAAATAACAATATACAACAGATGCACGTGGTACATGTCTTCATCGATCATCTGAAATAGAGAATACGGATATTAGCTTAACATGCTTATTTAGAAAGACTAGTGTTTACTTTGAACTTACTGTGTGAGAAAGTTATACTGGAACTGTGAATAATGTAGGAATCTAGTTTCCCAGGGCGTACGAAGCACTCAAACTGGAAGACAGTTGTCACAAATTAATTCGAATATGAAGTTGAGAATTTGCAAGTACTTTTCATCGTAAAGGTGAACATATTAGATAACGGTTGACATCATACCGTAAAAATAACAAATTTGCGAGTGGTGAATTATGGTCTATAAAAAGCTGAGCTTAATAACAGTTAGTTACCTTTTTACTCCCTGATCATGACCCTTCGGCTTCCTTATATGGCCGAAACAGCAAACATACACTACACACTGATAGCAGA